TTCATTTATTTATTTATTTATTTATTTATATATTTTTATTAAACACTATTCAGAGAACTATTTTATCGGTAAAAACCTGGAATAATACATCACCTAAGCTATGTTCTGGACCCATAATAATCCATTGATCTGAAGATGAGAATAATCCATGATGGAAAAAAACAACTGGTTTTCCTGGTGCCTTTGGTTTATTCGGGCTGCCAGGAATTCGGTGTACGTGCAATTCATAGCCATCCTCTGTGGTCACTAAGTGCTCTTCTGCGGGGTAATCGTGATCGTCTACCATTGCTACCTTTTTTCAGAGATAGCAAGAAAAACATTGAGATTGAAAAAAATTTTATAAGTACTTCATTTTCTAAAATGAAAAAAGTCGTACATTACAAAATTACCTTGGGATAGAAATATTAAATAACAATTATATCCAATTCAGTATATTGTAGAAATGTTAGATGTACTCACTGCTACAAGATTTTTTTATCTTACCTGACTCTATATTCTGGATATAATGGAAGACCGATTGAGCTGATGCTCCAGCGGGAAAAGAGGAAACCCAGTGGTGCCATGTATTCTAAAAATATAGTATCTATTTTATTGGAGTCAATAATGGTTGAGTTTAAAAATTTATATTTTGATTTGAAATGTACAACCAGAGATGGGCAGTACTTTAAATCAATTCAACGGGATTGTTTAAATTTTAATTCAAATGATTCAGTCACTTAATTACTTCAAACAAATGTAACAACCTAATAAAATACTTTTATTATTGTTATTATTGAAATATTATATCAAATTAACTACATTATCAAATTTATTATTTCGAATCAAGTATGGTACAAACTTGTTTGTTTTCAATCATGATATTTAAATATTTTATTTCAAATAAATATGTTTACAACTTTTTAAAACCTAAAATATTTAAAAAATAGCAGAAAGACATGTAACTGTTACCGTAAAAATTGTTTATTAAAAACTTTTGTAATTACTGATCACAACTTTGCCCATCTCGTGTACGGCTCATTATACTTACAACGTCTAACTGAAGAGACTCAGTCAGAAAGCTCAAACAGAGTTCATGAAACATACTTTTTTCCCCGCATAAGGTGCTTATCATCTTGGAGCTTGCTTCACTCAGTGGAAGCAATTCGTAAACATTCATATTTGTTAAGGCACCCTGTAAAAAAATCAATCATCAATATGCTTTGTCGCGTCACAATTCCCTACACTTTTTTATGTACTAAAAGTATATAATTTTAAAAAAACTTGGTACGTGTTAAACAATTTCACTCTTGGATTTATATTTAGCAGTGTGAAACACATCTTATTCATACATATTATGGTGTTCCTGTAAGTATGCGTAATAATTTACGCTCACTTTTTTAAACACCTCAGACACGATGCTCATAAAATTAAAAAAAAAATATATAAAAATGTTTAAAAATAATGCAAAAACTAATTTCTACTCACGTGCTTATATGTACTATTGATACGTTGGCACTGCAGTAACGTCTTCCACCACACACTCGACACTGTACTCAGTACTTGTCAAACACAATTGTTACACGTAGAACTAATCACATGCGGTGGCTTAGGAGCACTCTCGAAATGAGTATCCAGTCCAACTCTGGTTTCAAATCCAAATCATCTGCTGTACTCTCTCCTAGTCAAGGGCTCATTGGGCTCCTTTGGGCCGGAGACCAATCGTCATATCCACGCACTATCTAATTCTAGACGAAACACCAACCATCGAGCATAAAAAAAACGGGTAGATCAGTAAATTTGTCGCATTCGTGCGTATTTGGTATAAAAATTACATTTAATGAATGCAAACAACTCGGACGTGCCTTTTTTTTTAAATTACCTNTGAGACCCATAAAACAGCTGGGGCCAAATTAATCACTAGTTTGATTTTTTCGTTGTACTCGGGTTTGGTGGACAGCAAAACGTTACTTATGGTTCCACCCATCGAGTGGCCCACGTAAATCAACGAGGGCTGCTGCGTTTCCTTTAATATGTAGTCGATCATATATATATATATATATATATACACGCGTTGTGCGTAAAAGTGTGCGTAAGTGTGCGCGCGCGCACCAACCCTCGCGAATCTCGCGATGCACGTCATATCATCCTTGATGACTCTTCTTCTCCTTCCGTTTCTTCTTTTTCTCATGATTTTTACAACAACAACAACAACAACAACAAAAACAATAGCAGCTATGGTAGGATATCTTACGTGGATTGAAAAATAAAAATGATCGGATTTTGATGTGTAAGATAAAATTTATATCAATCTTAGGATCGTTGCATATGTATTTTTTGTGAAGCGATGATATCAGTTCTACATTTTTTGTTAGTTTAGAATAATTTATTTCAATATGATGCTAGTGTGTGAAACATGATGTTTTATTTCTTGATAAAAAACTACGACAAAATTACATTTTATTTAAAAAAAATTTTTTTTTTCTTTTTGTATACTTATATTCATAGGTGGTTGAACTTTTTTCGCTTTTACTTATTAAAAGATTGACGTCAACTGGAATATTCCCACAAGTTTGTTTGTTTTCTAACCAGCACGCATCGCTTGAGTGATTTTTACGCGTATCCTTTACTGGCTCTGTGTGTGGAGGGTGTTATGTTAAGTCTATATTAAATTGTGGATTTAAATGATTTTTTTTCTCGAAAATACGCTTGGAAAAAATAGTGAAAAAACGTTTAAGCAGGTATAATATTCTTAAAGAAAACGCAATTTTTTTCAGCATTATCTAACATTTTTAATTTTTACCGGAACCTCCATAAATTAACATCTATATTTTATCAGTCTTCAAACTTTTTTTCTTTTCTCATTTTCAAGTCTTAAGTATAATTAATTCATCGGATTCAAGAAATGATTGGATCACATATTTTTTTAGCAATTTGTATCATGTTTATTGTGATTCATTTAAAATAAAATACATTAAACACCAACACAAATTCAAATAATACTAGTTATCTATCAATGCATGAAAATTGCCAATACCCCAATGCTATCAGATTCAGCTTGAGCGTTAAACTGGACACCAAAGTCCATATTACTACATTTAAATGGGGTGTAATACCTGATACATTAAAAGAAATCCATCTTAACGACTAAATAAAGTGTTTCCCCTTACATCATTGATTTTAAATTAATTTCATAGTACATAAATAGAAAGATGGAAAAACAATTTATCATCTACGTAAGGTAAGGTTTGACCAAGTTTTTAAGTAAAGGTTTATGTGATACATTAAAAATATCCTCAGTCATTAATATAAAATTATAATAAATTGTTTACGTAATACTCGATAAGTTTTTAAAATTTAATTCATATGCCTCTGTACTCGAAATTTAATTCAAATATTTATATAACTAAGAAGCCATATTTCATGAATTTCAGTTTAACAAGTTGATTATTCACTACTTTATTGCTTCAGTGAATTTTCCATAATTTCCAGGAGGCGATTGTTCAGCAGTTTTTTTATGTCTTGAGCTACTACAAAATCCAAATGGCCAAACTTCGGATCAGGTACCGATTCTATCGTCACGACGTTCGGTAGTCGTTTCGACAATTCAATCACGTCCTGAATAATTGTAAATTACATATTTATCAGTAAAGGTAAAAATTATGGAGTTTTTAAATATATGTATACAAACGTACATCTGGTGCAATAATGGAATCTCCTTCCCCATAAATCAAAGCTACGGGTGCAACTATGTTGCTCAAGTCATAAGCTGGTGGCTCTGGCTGTCCGTACTTCAGAGAGTTTTCTTTCTCTCCAAAGTCGTACATTACAAAATTACCTTGGGATAGAAATATTAAATAACAATTATATCCAATTCAGTATATTGTAGAAATGTTAGATGTACTCACTGCTACAAGATTTTTTTATCTTACCTGACTCTATATTCTGGATATAATGGAAGACCGATTGAGCTGATGCTCCAGCGGGAAAAGAGGAAACCCAGTGGTGCCATGTATTCTAAAAATATAGTATCTATTTTATTGGAGTCAATAATGGTTGAGTTTAAAAATTTATATTTTGATTTGAAATGTACAACCAGAGATGGGCAGTACTTTAAATCAATTCAACGGGATTGTTTAAATTTTAATTCAAATGATTCAGTCACTTAATTACTTCAAACAAATGTAACAACCTAATAAAATACTTTTATTATTGTTATTATTGAAATATTATATCAAATTAACTACATTATCAAATTTATTATTTCGAATCAAGTATGGTACAAACTTGTTTGTTTTCAATCATGATATTTAAATATTTTATTTCAAATAAATATGTTTACAACTTTTTAAAACCTAAAATATTTAAAAAA